TATGCATCACGATCTGACAACACTGGATTAATATGTCTCTTGGGTTTATAAATTCACTTAGGCAGTCTAGTAAGTAAACTTTCACAACAGTGAAGGCATCAATAAAACTCCTCAATGTTTCTAAGCCTTGGCAATGAGGAAAAAGTCAAATCATAAATACCAAGACCTCTGAAGGCCAATAAACAATTCTAATTAGTAAACATTTTACAAATGTAAAGCTCTCTTTTAGGGAGCTCAGCACGGTTATGTAGAGGCTAGCGCGGTCGTCTGACAGCTCTTGGGCCTGGGTGCTCCTTCTGTTGTGGAGTTTGCATGTAAGCCCTGTGTCCATGTACTCAGGATTCCACCACAAATCCCAAAGTATTCAGACCCTGTCACAGCTTGCAGACAATTGGAAGCTGCAATTTGTTATATACACATATTCATGGCAAACAAATTGAAAGATATGAAAGGAAATGTAAAAGTATTTGATCAACATGCAAACCCTTTGCCATAGCAAATCTAAATTAAGGCGCACACCTTACTCACCCACACACTGTGCTCACTCAGAAATGGTTCTCGTGAGCTCAGAATACAAAACCTCCTTTCTCTGTGAGGTTCCTTGGTCAGGTAGTGAATGCCATGCAAAAGACACAACTATGAAAACTTTCAAAGCAATGCAGGGATAAAGTCACTGAAAAGCAAAAACCAGAAGGGTACAAAAAATACTGAGGTGTCTACCCTTGTGAGCACAATCATCGAGAAACACAGGGTGTATTGTACCACCAAGTCACTACCTAGATCAGTCTTTCCCTCCAAACTGAACGGCTGGGAAAGGAGGAAACTAATAAGCGATGCGACCATGAGGCCAAAGGTGAATATTACAACTGCTACCGAGTCCAGATGAGATGGGAGAAAACGTGCACCAATCAACGATATCTGGGTCACCCCACAGATCTGGCCTCTATAGCAGATTTACAAAGTTAAGAATTTAAGCAATACTGCAGAAATATGGCAAATGGTTTTGTGGTCAGATGAGAGAAAATAGGAATTTGTTAGTCTAAAACAAAGTATTATATTTGGTTCAAACCCAACACATCACTCAATCAACACCATCTGTGTGTTAGGTATGGCGAGGACCGTGTTATGTTACTATTCTGCTTCTCATTTATGGTAACATAGATGGAGCAAAGTACTTGTGAATCCTAGAGGAAACTCTGCTTCAGACAAAACAACTGGGACAAAAATTCATCTTTCAGCAGGACAGTGTTCCAAAGCACAAGGCCACAGCTACAGTAAAGTGCCTTAAGAGCATGAAAGTGAATGTCCTTGAGAGAGGTGACTTGAATTCTACTGAGAATCTGTGTAAAGACTTACTGCACATAAGAGATCCCCAAGCAACTTGTGAGACCTTGAGAAAATCTGCCAAAAGTGCAAAAAGTCAGAAAAGACTTAATCAAAAGGACCTGCAGCTAGAATTGCTGCCAAAGTTGCTTCCACCAAATATTCACAGGTCTGAAAACGCAATCAACTTATTTCTGCGTTTCTTCTTTAATTTTTACTAACATTTCTAACATAATTAATTAAGTGGCATGGTGGCCCAGTCTTACGGTGCTGGAGCCCCACATTTGATTCGTGGGTGCTCTTTGTGGAGTTCGCATGTTCTCCCCGAGTTTGCTTGGGTTTCCTCCCACAGTCCGAAGAAATACCAGCAGGTTAACTAGCTTCTGTTTGTGTCTGTGTGCGCGGTGATGGACTGGCATCGTGTCCAGACCATACACTTGCCTTGTTGACTGTTGCTTGCTGGAAGAAGGCTCCGGCCCCCCTGTACTGGATAAAGTGGTTAGAAAATGCATGGATGGAATATTAAGTAGAAAGGGTCTGAATACATTTGCAACTTTAAAATAGATGTAGTATCCCAAGATTGCAGAGAATTTCCCCAAGCTCCCCAAATACGTGGGTATATTTGAGTTAATGAGTCTATAGCTAGATGTGACCACTTTAACATTCAGGAGTAGTAACTGTAAGCCACCGACAAAAAATCTGAAGCATTAAGAATGTTCCCCGATAATGTATTTGACAAAAAAAAAAATCCCAAATCATCACTTCTGCTAAAAATTAATCAACAAGGAACCGTGCAGTAGGTTAACTCCAACCAGAGACAGAGAGTGGAAACTGGACATCTGGGACAGCAGACGTCCCTTAAACAGCTTGTGCAGTTGGAATTAGACGTAAAATCCTATAAGTGATTTAAAAAGAAAAAAAACATGCAACCCTGCAGAGGTCACAAGAAAGAAGCAGCACACAGTCTGCTCAGGTCACAAACACCCAGACGTGTTTCAAAGCCCCCCGCCACAGCAGAGGGGAAACTCCACTCTCCGAAGCTCACAATCTCATCCACCTCTTCAGTGTCCAAGCAGCAAAAAACACCACATGCTAGTCACATCAAGCTGGCGTGAACATCATGGAAATGAACTAGGGGACCGACATTCAAGCAATGGTGTTTATTCACCCGGGAGAAGGCAAGGGCAAGACTTTCCAAAAACTGAGTCTCTTTAAAACACAGGAAGCTACTAACTGAAAAAGAACTGTAGGAAAAGAAGTGATGCTTTCATCCCTGTGGTTGTTCCAAAGACAAAAACGCTGACAATACGATCCCAGGAAACCAGGCTTGACTTTGGGCTCAGAAGCAGTCGGTGTTTGAGACTGAAAGACTCAAAAGCCTGTTTCTATCAGGTGGATGACAGTTCTGCGAGCAGGCAACAGCTGGGGTAGAAAGAAGCTAAAGAAACATGAGATCATGTAGGTTTGTTTCAAACAGACTTGTTGCGAGGAAAAGGGCAATGAGGGAAACAGAGCCCCTATTGCTATCTCAGAAGAATCCTCAGAATGGAGATGGAGGAGCCCAGCACTGAGTTAGTAAAGAGACATTGCAGAGGCACACACTTGGGCATGTTACAACTTTTATTGGAGCATTTTAAGAAAGCCATCATTATTAGCAGACTCACTCTTAATGTTCCCAAAGCAGTTCAGATTGGCCATGACCGGAACCCAATTATTTTTTCTCTCCCAGCAACACCATCAGAAAAATACTTTTACCCTTAAATTAGGAACAGTTGTATTCTTCATACTTACATATACAATAGCAGGCCTAGAACCTTAGCACATAGCCTATGAAAATCCTTACTTGTAGTTATCAGATCCTAACCTTCCTATAAAACAAGATTTAAACTTGATTTTAACTGATGCTAAGGAGACTCATTCTAGTTTCTGATTCAGCACAGCGTTGAAGGAATTCAGTGACCTATTAATTTGCCTTAGCAACACAATTTCACACACTGCCCAGGATCCAGAGCTAGACAACCTATACCCACAAACAAAATCACAAATTTCAAAGCCGTTTCTTAACTGAAAAGCACGACTCCCATCTAGTGATGTGTTTGAAGTTCTTAACTGTCCATGGTGTTTTAATCCCAACCCCAGGTCTCTCTGCTTGGTGACTATAAAGATTCTGGAGGTCCGGTGTTTTAGTAGGTTTTCATTCCATCTCATTTCTAAATGACCTAAATCAGCTTGTTACTGGCTATACCAATTTAACGCTGCCCAGCTCTTCAGTTGTCAGTGACTGAAAGAGACCTAGAAAACTGGCGGACATGCTAAGCCACTGATATTCATTGCTGGTCCTGGGGGGCTGTTGTTTTCAGGTTTTCATTCCAAGCTGGACTCTTGATGACGATTTGAATTAACTGTTCACTCTGCTGCTCTGTATTATTTCAAGTCTTTACCCATTGCGGATTACCCCTACGTAAACCTGTGAAACTGGCAAACTGCAACCCTTTAGGTCCAAGAATTAATATTTCTGTATTAGACTCCCCAGGACAGATGACAGACCCCCTATCAAAAGGTACAGTGTCATAAAAACCCTTTGAGCAACAAAATCATTCTCCAACTCATGCAACCCGCCCCTTAATTACTATATTGATCCTACTGGTCCGCAGCTAAATAATTAAGAAGCTGGTTGTAGAAATAATGGAAAATAGAGCAGGCTGGAGGTTGAGGAGCCCTGCTTTAGAAGAAAATCCCGAGTTTGTTCTTTTTACACGGTGCTACTGCCTGATGTGCGCTGGACACAGCAGGTCCCTCGTCAGTGTTTCCCGGGGCAACTGGACCTCGAAAGCTGGCGTCCTCGTGCACAAGGGCCGAATTCAGCAGAACCTGCAAGACTGAACTGACCGTGACCTGCGAGCATCGAAACCCGTGAGATTACGCGTGCCACCAGCAAAACAGACATTATGATGGTGCCTACGGAGGTTATAGTAGTACTTTATTACAAACTCCATGACTGTGAGAACATTTTTCAATGTATGGTCGCTTTACATTCCCAATATTGCTGTGTTCCACAAACACAGCATCGTTGTTTCTCGCTTTATATTATGAGTGTTCTTCAAAGTTAATATTGCTTGTTTTAAACCCCACTTAGGAAAAAATTAAGCAAGATAAGTTTTTTTTTTGTTTTATATCGCGTGGTTTAAATTAATTGTCATGACTCTACTAAAATGCACTAACGTGCATATACAACGCTCAATAACGAAGTGGATAAACACAGCAATTTCAGAACAGAAAAGCCTCACAAACCACAACGAGCTCTCCTGTGAGCAGCACGTCTGGTCCTTTTTGCTGATGCGCTGGAACGAGCCCCACCAGCCCGTCCCGCACAGGCGCACTGAGCTCTCCCCACCTGACGGCTGCGGACGCCGCATGCGCCACGGATCACTATCTCGCAGCTCTCACCCAGCCCGCAGCTGACGCGCCGCTCGCGTTCAATCGGTCACTATTTGGCAGCGCCGTCGCTGGGGCCCCAAACATCAGCAGCCCACTTCACTTTACCCGAGTACAGCGAGCGTTCACAAGCTAGGGGCGAAATGCCGGTACATTACACCAAAAAAGACTGACCCTCAGTTGAAACTTGAACACACACAGTCACTTCCAAGATGCATGGTAAAAACCATAAATTGCCGTACCTTCTCACACAGCGTTCTCACTTGGTTCTCAGTCAGCTGCTTGCAATCGTTCAGCTGCTCGACCCATTGATCCAGTTCTTTTGTAAAGGCTTTATCGTCCATTTTTAAAAACACACACGGCAAAGCGGTTTTAAGCACTAAGTTGTTTCGAGCAGTGACTCGTTTCTTTTTTTTTCTTATCGAAATTCGTCGCTGAAAGGCTGAAGCTGGAGCTTTGCAGAGCGGTGCGAAGGGGGGCACCTCGGCTTTCGGAACAGATAGCTGAAATCGGCTCAGAAACGGCGAAATCAAACTGGTCCGGGCGTTTTCAAGTCCCCTAAGACTTTAGGCGCTCTGGTTCCTGGGTCCAGCGGGTGGGTAGCAGGGGATGAGCCGCACTCTTCCTTCACTGCCAGTAGCTCCTCTTCCCCCCGACCTTCCCAGCGAAACTCAGCTGTGTAATGGCCGACCGGCTCTGCGCTCTCCTCCCCCAAACGTCATCACAATGGCATTTCCACCACAACACCGGAGATTTCACAAAGCAAGAAAAACACTCGGTGAAGAGACGTTTCCCTCCAACTGCAAATAGCTTTAGCAAGTTAGCAGTTATTCTTCTAGCGCCCTCCGCTGTCAGAGAAGACCTAGTTGGCTATAAACTGTGGGTCAGTGCTTCTCAACCCCGGTCCTGGAGGGCATCTGTGTTACAGTTTTTTTTTTCCAGTAGAGCTCTTACTCATGAGACTATTTATTCCTTTAAATGAACTACTGCTTGGTTAAACGTTTTAAACCTGTTTCTGCACGTGTTTTAATAAATGATAATTGGATTGATTATTTATGATTCAAGTTTTTAACAAGATCTTTCAGCCACACAATGCCTTTTTCATAGGGACTGCCAAATTGATAGTACCTGCATTACCAGAAAAAATGTATCTTATGCTTTAGTTTTGGGTGGTATATTTCCTATATATGAATGATTGTTAAAGTTCCACGAGAAACAAAAGACAACCACATTTCAAAACTTTATTTTGAACTAAATAGAATATTTTTCATTTTGGCAGAGGATTGTGTTTCTACAGTTTATTGTGTAGGGTCCCAGGCACAGTGAAAATCAATTGACATTTGACTGCTGAAACTATTGTGAGTGCCTCTGTGTTTCACCAGAGGGCCCTCTACTTCCACACATGTTCAGAAATATTCAAAACATCTTGTCATCTAGGTGCACAGTGCAATGCACAGTCTGCATTTGAAGGTCTGAGGGCCTTCTGGATCAGCAGGTGTCTGGTGGTAGTAAGTGTGGAAATAGATACTGTGCTTAGAGCAATCAAACTCAATAGCATGATGCAACCAGATGAAATCCCTTGCCACTGCCAGAGTTAGTGAATAATCTGTTTTCATCAATCCCTGCTCAGATTACACTTTGCTTGATGCTTGCACATCTTGCTGTTTAACTGTTAGGACCCCAAAACAAAGATAAAAACTTTTCTAGAGTATCTTCTTCAACTAATCATGTATAAGCAGATGTAATTTTTGAATTAATCTGTAGACCCTCTAGTTTAAATGTTTAAACTGCCAAAAAGTCTTGGCTTCCATCTTTTTCTTCTTCACAAACGTGAATTTCAGTTTTATTTGCAGTATTAACATTTTAGACATAGACAGGATGACAAACTGATCTAATTCAAGTATTTTAACTGCTCACAAGAGCCAACATAGTCCTTCCACTGAACTTCTACAAGATGAACAATGAGAGACAAAGCAGGGAAACATTCCTTTGCACTAGCTGAAGAGACTCAGGGACTATAGGAATAATAATAAGAAGTGCTCTTTTAATGGACTTGAGACATTTCCTCTGCGTCAATATAGTTCTGTACATGCACATTTGGAGATATAAACAGAAATCCAAGATTAAGGAGACTGGACTGAAGGACAGTCCTTTAGCCTAGTCTCTTTAAACAACAGTCTAGCCCAGCTAGCTTCTTTTATACTGCTCCAGACACACTACTGATGACCCCAGTGATCAATGACCCAGCTTGCTGCTCACCAGAGGCTCCTGGGAAGTGTAGTCTTCTCCAGCGTGTCCACGTTCTCAAATATAAGAACTAAAGTGTTTGGACTGATATAGACAGTAGCACCCTTCCTCCCTCCTACAGTGTGTACACTGGATGTCATCTTTCAGCTCTGTAACAATGCTGCTCTCCTTTGCATATCTATTTGGATTATGGTGTCTAACTTGACAATAGGTCAGGTATAGTACAGCTTTAGCTGCTAACATGTTATGTAACTGTATGCAGTATAACTATGCTGTTGGCTTTTTGTAACATTTCCACAGTCCGAAAAAAGGTTTACTATGTTAACATAAATGACTTGTAAGATTTATTAGCTCAATACTGTACAGATTCATTACACTATTGTATAACGTATTATCTTGAATACATTTAATATTTATATTACATTTAATATGCAAACATAGGAATACAAAGCATTACCTGTTTTGTATATATACTTTCCCTATATCCCTGCCAAGGATACATATTAAATGAACCTAAAATTTGCATTAATAAAGAAAAGCAAAGTGTAGCAGGCTGGTCTTTGAAGGGACTTTAATAACAACTGACCTGCCACTAGCCACCGTCCTCTACTCGAGAATAATTTCACTGGGGTTAAATTGTTCATTTTTATTATTTTTACAGTGTGGTAGATGACACATTCTCACATGGGTGTTAATCAGTGATGTGTTTGGGTACATGGGTATAGGGACTTTCACTGTGTTAGTGATGAGTTGCGTTTTAAGAAGCAGTCAGGTCAGACTGCTAGAGTTTAACAATAGGCAAGGGGTGTGGGTGGGAGCTTCTCTTTATAGTCTTTTGAATGTAAGATCTCCTGTTTACCCTGAAATAAAGTCTCCAGCATCATATAGGGTCATCCTTGTGAATCTTCATGGGCTCAGATCAATGAGTCCACCTTATCTAAGGGTGGGTTCTGTCACATCAGTACTGTACCTTTTATAGAAAAATACTGACAAATTTGTCAAAAATACATTTTAATATGACAAACAGTACAGAAACAAATAGTGCTCAGACAATGTATAGGATTAAATCATGGATAACATTTTGTTCTTTACAAATTGAGCATAAAATTCTAGGAAAGCATGAAGGAAAATATTATCTTGGCAGGACTCTGCAAAAAATACAAAAATATATTTTTTAAGAAATATGAAAGAAACATATAAAAGCTTTCAGACCTAAAGTTTTCAGAAAGGACTCTTGAAAACAACCAAAAATAGAACCATCAGACATAATGTTCTTGTGTTCTCTGCTTCTCTCTAATTCCAGTACACTGAAAAACAGAAATATCAAAGGTAAAGTTAGTTTAACTGACAGTCAAACAGCTGACAGGTGATAATTCACTTTTTTCCTGAAAAATGTTTTACGCATTTTTAGAATTTATCTCATATTTTGTTTAAACATTAACTCTTTGTTCCACTATGTTATATATTTCAAGATGTAAAGAATCTGTTAACTTCAGATAGTGGTCTTCAGCACAATAAAGTAGATTTCACAAGCTGTATACATGTAGTAAAACAAAAAACAATGAGTGACACAGAAGCTCATGTACTAACATACCTGGTGGTGGCTGACTTGCTGCAGAACAATTTGGATCAGAATAAAATGTCCTCAGTTGCTGAGAGTCCACTGCAGGTATCTGAGAATTGCTCATACCAAATGGATACCCATTACAAAAGAGAAAGGGTTCACAATTGTAATACGGACAGGAGTTGTTTAATGCCTGAAGCTGATGAAACTGAGATCCATGATCTGTAGTGCTTGCAAATGCGTGGTAAGTACTGGCTGGTTGGAGCTCCTGCCTTCCAGAGCACACAGGAGCACTGTGAAGCTGCTGCATCCACGCACCACCTCCCTGGTGCAGAGACCAAAAGGGTAAGACGGGCTGGTTCCAGTAGTGTGGTGCCTGTGAATGCAGAGTCTGCTGCTGGCTGTTCTGTAAGATGCTGGGCCTTAAAAGTCCCTCACTGCCCGGACGTCTCTCAGGGTGCCTTTTGTTTGATATACAAGTCTGTGTCTTTGTCTCACCCCAGGCTGATCTCAGCTGCTGCTGGTACCTGTGGCATTCTCGCTGTTGTGCGTGGGAAACTGGACAGGGCAGAGTACGCTGCAGGGATGAACCGTGATTCTTGTGCCAAGGTGCCCATGTTGTGTGCTGCTGCTCAAACACCCTCCCTACAAACACGAAGTCAGAAGATGAAACCTTGGTTTTTGGAGTGCAATTTACGTCGCACATCATACCCTGCCCAGAGGCTAATGTGTGGGGAAAAGGCTCCAAAGATTTGGCTTTTTTTTTAATCTGCTGCTCAGAGCCATTCTGCAGTTTATATATTGTCTCCAGAATTGTCTCACTAAGTGCTTGCACATGAGGCTGTAGATGTAAAGAGTCATGACCATTTCTGAGAGCAGTGGTCTCCAGCTGTAATGATGTGTCTCGGATCTCCTTAATTGCCAGAGGACAGGTCATGACCTCATTGTCCTTGATGTGTCCCGAAGGAAGAGTCACAGGCTGCTGCTGTCTACTGACAGTTGTTTTTAACTCTTTCCTGTCGAGAAAAGAATTAATAAGCACATGACTACTTTGAAGCTTGTGGTCATTGAATAGTGTAACAGTTATCGGTAGATGCTGTCTTTTCAGACCTGACATTTGATTGGTTTACGTCACCAGATAATTAACCCAAGAAGTTACAATATTTTTTCTTTGTTGGCTTGTCTAATATCTATAGGTTTCAAATATGGGCTGACAAGGCTTCCTTGCAAATTAAAAGTCACCCGGTATATTATGTTAATTTTACTGTATGTAAGCTGCTGGACTGAACTCAGAAAAATATATGATTATCTTTTTTTGCAAGGGTTGTTTTTGTTTTGTTTCACAGATTTTAAAACACAGTATGGCACTTTAAATGTGGTAATTCATGTTCACATAAATTATGAATTATGAATACTGAGTATTCATAATTATAAAATAAGTTGTGCATCATGTCCAAAAACTTTAAATATTTACACCGACCACTCGATTTCCCAAACAAACCAACCCATTCAATTTCAGTACTAAGATCTTTTGCTGTTTGGTTGCTTTATTGTCTTCAAGAGTTTAGGTTTTCATGATGTAGGTCTCACATTCTAATACATAGTATATTGGAAAAGGAGGCTGTGTAAAACTGTACGGTGCAAAACGATACAGTGCAAATTTGGCTGTGCTGTGTTTTTTAGTGGACCACCAATATAATAATAATAATTGCTTACACTTATAAAGCTTTTTTCTGGACACTCCACTCAAAGTGCTTTACAGGTAATGGGGACTCCCCACCACCACCACCAATGTGCAGCCACACCTGGATGATGCGACAGCAGCCATAACACACCAGAATGCTCACCACACATCAGCTATCAGTGGAGAGGAGAGCAGAGTAATAAAGCCAATTCAAGATGGGGATCATTAGGAGGTCATTACTGGTAAGGGCCAATAGGAAAATTGGCCAGGATGCCAGAGTTACACCCCTACTCTTTTCAAGAAACACCCTGGGATTTTTAATGACCACAGAGAGTCAGGACCTCAGTTTTACATCTCATCCAAAGGACAGCACCTGTTTACAGTATAGTGTCCCCATCACTATACTGGGGCATTAGGACCCACATGGACCACAGGGTGAGCACCCCCTGCTGGCCCCACTAACACATCTTCCAGCAGCAACCTTAGTTTTTCCCAGGAGGTCTCCCATCCAGGTACTGACCAGGCTCACACCTGCTTAGCTGCAGTGGGTTGCCAGTTGTGAGTTGCAGAGTGATATGGCTGCTGGTGCTATCATCAAGTACAACTTCAATGCACCCTTTTCATGCTTCAAACATTTTCTTATTTGTTAATTATTTAAAACTGAGTTCTTAAGATGGAGTACTGTGGTCCCCATGTCAAGATCACAAGGCTGGGTTAGTAGACGACTATGACCTGGGCTCCCCCCTGTTCTGCAGTGTAGGATGGTTTTATCACTGCCAGTGGTAGAGCTGGGACTATCTGGCCATGACTTTCCTAGTTCCAGTGAAACAGCACAAGAATGCCAACAAACCACTCAGCCTAACTAACTTAGCAATGACCCCCACCATCTCCGGGACATCCCTAGCTTCATAGCGAGATAGATTTTCCTCCAATCGGCGTAGAGCCTCCTGTACAATGCTTGTAGTGCATTAAAACATGAAAGGCTTGATCGCTAATGGATTAGAAGATCCTGTTGGCACTTTGTCAATCACGCCCTGTGGTTACAGCGGTCAATAGTGTGAGCCCAAACATAAAGACTGCTCCAGAAATTGCACAAAATCTTAAGATATATACAGAAATAGAGTGGTTAGTGAAAATATAAATGCATGACATAGTAGATTTTTATCTTTAAAAATATAGTAGTTTTTCTTATGTGAAAACGTTTTAAACCTAATAGATGAAGCAAATGACTGACACTCCATGGTATTTGGCACTCAATAGACTGTATTAAAAGGTTCTCATCTATTGTGGAATGTACAGCTCATTTTTCTTTTTTCTTTTTGTGTTGCACACAAGATTTGTTAAAGCTGTAAATTGTAACTAGTGAGGTAGTACTAGTCCAGTAATATAAAAAATATTGCATATGTTACATGCAGCATATTGAAAAAGATCATGTGAGCACAGACAAATGTGGCAGCGGGTGATACTATGAGCAGGTGGCACATTGTTCAACAGCTCTCACCTTTCGTTATCAGGCATGCTATCCTTTTTCGCCAAATAGTCTGCCGGATATGTGTCTTTGCTCTGAAAACATATTAAACATGAAGAACATTTCGACACAGTTAAAAAGAAACACGCAGAACAGGATGGTGTATTTCACTCACTTCAACACAGACATAAAAAGAAGTCTGTGTTCAACACCGCTATGCACCAGCAGCCCTGATTCACAGCTGATCAGTTGGGGAAGGGATCACACTGTGCAAACCAAGAATTGTAGCTCAAAGTCTGAAGGACGAGACCTCCTACAGCGGAGTGTCCGCCGTCACCACACCAAAGGCAGTTAGAGAAATTTCAGTACCGAGGGAAGAGCGCCATCTACTGTCTCACTGAACTGAACAGGCTCAACCTTTCCTTTGCTTCTATGATCTGACGATAACAAGCTGAAGTTTGGCACTGTTGCTATCTAGCGTAGACAGGATCCTAGAATCCTGCAGCAGTGCTTTTCCTAGTGGAACAAACATCTAATAAATTATGAAACAGCCTTATACAAATTATGTTTTCAAATGAAAGGTGATGACAGTGGTCCTTTAAAGCTGGTTGTAAATACCTTTCCAAAGATGTATAAAAATTCAAAATAATGCCTCATCACTTTAAACTGTACAGTATATTAAATAGAACCTCGAGCCTATGAATAAAGAATAACTTTTTACTTCTTTTAGCACACCTAAATATTTATACACAATTTGGGAATTAGCTAGTGATGGGAGATCCTCCAGGATAAAGTAGATCGATGTCCCATTAAGAGTAGGCTGACAGCAAAAAAACAAATCAAATGATCCTTTGAAAGTTTCTGAATTATTGTTAGCTCAATTGAAGGAGGAGAAGGTTAAGAAAAAAGCAGATTAAATATTAATGAATTTATGGACTGGGACTTCGTTGTCTTGATTAGTGAGTTATTGCAGTTCAGGACCCAAATGATAAGTTGAAAATGGTAACTTGTGAAAAAGCTAGTTTACTGAGGAGGACTGCAGACTTATAGCAGCAAGTTAAGTCTTTCCCCTCTGCAGTTACAATAACCTTCACTTCTGAACAACACAAATTGGACAGTCAGAGGGCAGAGAATATCCAGTCACAGCATAAGTTATCTGTGCAAATGGCGCCTTAACACAAGCCCTAAGCACTTTCTCCAGCTCATACACTGCAAATGTTCACAAATAATGGAGACCTTGAAGGCTAAAGTAAGAATGAAGCCATGAAAGAACCTTGCTCTGATGAAAATGATGATCAAACTTATGGCTTGAGAATAAAAGAGAGAGAGAGAGAGAGAGAGTAGCTTTCTTATCCATTTAAACTCCCCCTGTATCTGGGGTTACAACAAGGAGTGCTTTAAAATGTGTTGTGTAACTGATAATTTCAGAGAGAGAAAATTTGAAACCTTTAGTGACCAGTGTGAAATACAATATTGTATTACTGCTTCTGACACTGATCTTGAAGTACTTTGCATTTGACGTATTGCTCAAATTCAAATATATGTACATCAGAGTGACAGTACAGCTCATTCTCCCACTCTAAGAACATTATTACACATAATTGAAGTAAGCATTGATGCTGACTAGACTGATATTTTAGTAATGCATGAGGCTGGTGAGGTTTACTCTACGAAAACAATGAGAAGAACGTGTCAGAGTTTATGCTTTCCACAGACTAGCTCTAAATCAATCAATTGGCTATGGTGATAAACACTCTCATCTTTCTCCAAAAATGGCTTGCCGAGCTGTTGCAATAAAATTAAACCCTGGAGCTTTTTCCAGTACGTCAATGACATTCTACAGACTATAGCAACTTAAAAACTGCAAATTCAAGACCCCAGTTTCAAGTAAAAAAAAATACAGTTTTTATAGGGCTCTGTGATGTATGGTGGGGCTGTAACTAGTCTGTAAGGAAAGTCACCTGAGGCAGCAAAGACACAACTCATTCTAAACTGCCCTTGCTTGTCAGAAAGATCGCACATCCTTCGGTCCTAGGCTTGCTTGGCTATCAGAGAGACTTTTTTCCTGAGTTTCCAGAATGTGCAAAACCAGTCTTTGGTGTACAGGGGAGCTCCAGAAGAATTTTACAGCTTTTCTGAATGGACTGAGAAATGTTCCACAGCTGTTCAAACGTCTCAGATAATCACTGGTGCAAGCTCCGTACTGTACTCAGCCTAATCTTGAGCTACCTTTTCACCTTGAAGTGGGATCTCCTAAATAAGTTATCTCTGTGGTTTTGTCAGGAAAGAACGATGCACTGAGACCTGCTGTATTGCTTATGATACAAGCTGTCTTCAGTGTTGAAAAACAATATGATGCACTACGCATTCACTAGATAAGCTTTCCTGTTCTGAAACATTTCACTTGACTATTTTTATCTTATTTTACTGCTAAAGCCCATGGATAATGAGATGTCTTCACAAAAGTTTTTTACACTAGAAATGACTTTTAGCACAGTGCAATCTGGACATTGACTGTAAAAATATTACTGTATTCTGTGGTGTCAGACGTTGCACCCTAAAAGGGGATGATTTTCCTGTAGGGTACAATGATATACTGTATAGCAATGTTTCATGCCTTAACTGTAATGTGTGCAGTGTAGACAGTAATGCAGTGTCTGTAATGCAGTGTCAATTACAGTACATACATCAATATATTTTAAACCAAAGGTTTTCGTTTTTACCATAAAAATATCATATTCAATGTCATAATTATATAAAATTGGTTCGATAAGATTTATCACTTAATCCTTGAACAGCAGAGATGACAAAAACATTTAAAAAACATCTTTTAAAACGTTGTACACTTTATCATTGACATTTACATATGAAACATGAAACATGAAATGTGAGAAAGTAAATTGTCGATATTAACAAGGCATAACGGGCAAACATCCATCCATATCTAATTTTAATTTTGCTGATGTAGCCAGCAGCTCTATCACACTTCAGCTCACAATTGGGAACCCACTGAAGCTAAGCCTGAGTGCCTGGCTACTGGCATTTGGTGTTTGAAGACTGTTGGTGCCTATAGTGCCTAATGGGAAATCTGGCACTGCCTGGCTGAGGCCTTTTGGGAAAGCTAAGGCTGCTGCTGGAAGGGGTGTTAGTAGGAATCAGTAAGGAGTGCTTGCCTTGCAGTTTTTGTGGATCCCAATGCCCCTAATGCAGAGGGAAGGGGACACTATACTGTAAAAAAGGCTCTGTCCTTAAGATGAAGCATAAAACTGAGGTCCTGACTCTCTGTAGTGAAATCCCAGGGCATTTCTCGAAAAGATTAGGGGTGTTACCCCTGTGTCCTGACCAAATTCCCCCTGGCCTTTACCAATCTCTGGCCTCCTTATAATCTATGAACTGGCTTCATCACTCTGTTCTCCTCCCCACTGATAGCTGGTGTGTGGTGAGTGTACTGGTGCACTTTGGTTGTCATTATGTCATCCAAGTGGGTGTTACACATCAGAGATGACAGGAAGTCCACTTAGAGTGGAGTGACCAAAAACGTGCTATGTAAGTGTAAAGAATTATTATCATTGTTTATCAATACAAACACTTGTCATCAGCACGAGCACCATCACTTACATTTTCCATTTTAAATTTTGATTTTAAAGATGATAGGGTAATCTACTTCAGGAGACCCAACAATGGGACCAAGAAACTTCCCTTGGGATGCTGGGCGCTATTGTGACATAGTTAAGATGGCGGCATGTGGCACAAAATTCTCACTGTCATTCCGACCAAGAGCTATGTAAATCATTCTATAATGCTGGTTCCAGTAATTATGAGTATAACCGGATGGTTACATGTTATGAAAAACAGCTGAGTTAGTATGATTTCATACAGATCTCAAAATCGAATTATCAACCAAATTTTACAAGACCATCACCAAAAAGCTGGGATCATATGTTTCTGAGGTTCCAATCAGACTTCCTTTATCCACTAAGATTCCTTTGTATTTTTCCTTTTATTTTTTCTGTTTTACTTATGGAAATAAGTGTTTTTCCAATCTTTAGTCTGAGAAGACAAACGATTGGGTAAAGTACCTCTCTCAAGGTACTACATCAATGTCTGCAGCAGGGACTGGGACCCACAACCTGCCAGTCATGAGTCCAAAGTCATACCTTTTATTTCACTGCCTTCCCATCAATACTTGACAGGAAATAATTCCATTTTAGAGTTAGTGTTTTTCTGGTACTAGATTTGAAAATATGGCCATGAACATCACTACAATGGCCAGTTAATTGATATATAGATTGATTACTTCTAGGTTATATCCTAGAAAATCCAATAATTTCAAAACATATTTTCTTTTTTTAGTACATTTGTGCTAGTAAGTCCTTTGTGTGCTATTATTAGGATTTCACCAATGATGAGCAGGAGAAAACACAAAATATTTGTCACATAGGACTCTTAGCATTGTCTACCTTCACAAATCACTAAGTTGAAAACAATTAGAACATCAAATAAGACAAACTTTCTGATTTCTAACAAGCTAACAACTGATTGACCAGGCAGACAGCTGTTTACCTGTACAGCTTCTTGTTTCCCATTCATTGAGCAGGAGTGTTGGTTTGCTCTGGGTTTGGATCCTGAAGTAGCAGCTACACAGTCAGACACAATCTTGTCATAGAGTTTCTGCTGATGGCGAACAGCAATGTTATTAACCTGCAACACGGTCCTCTGCTTCACACCTGTGTATTGGATTGTACCACTTTCCTGCCCCTTGAGGTCCTTCCACACCAGAGTCTTTGCAACATCAAACAGAATGTGTTCGAACCCAAACCATGAGGCTTTTGAATTGATGTCTTTGTTGCTCATCAGGAAGTTGACCTTTTCACAAACCAGCCTTCGTATGATGGAAAGATGCACCACCTTTGCGAAATCGAAGCTGTCGCACAAAACCTCTTTTGGAAGGTTTCGCATGAAAGAGCAAATATTTCTTAGAAGAAGTTGCAAGTCTTCTATGCTATTCCCAAAGTTGATGCCACATGACAGAGGTACTGAAAAAAAGAAACTGCCATAGTCGGTGTAATTATGCACTGCAGCCAGGCTCTCAGCTCTTTCCCTTCTGTTCTTCAGGAACAAGTAATAAGAAGTTTCTTTGGTGTGCAAACATGTGGGTGAAGAGAAATAAGAGTGGTGTTTTCTCAACTCACTGTAGCCATATTGCGCAAGACATTCCTGGAATTGTGGGTACAAAGATGACTGCTGCTGGAATCCATTCTTACCTTTCTTGAGCTCACTGTACAGAGATGGGTCATACCAAAGTAAACTCCTGAATGTTGGTGATCCATTCAGGAAACTTATTTTGTTTTCCACAAATTGCACTGCTTCCATCATCATTTGGAGTTCTAGAAATGAGTTCAGCGCTCTATATTTCAGCTTTATGGGTTCGGCTAAGCCTTTTAGATGTTTCTCCATGATTAGGTCTTTCGAAATAAAAGCTTCCTTGAAGTTCACACACTGATCTCTCTCAAAGGCTGAAACAAATGAGGTAAGCATCTCCCTGCATTTTGATCTCAGGGGATATAACTGATCCAACAAAAATGCAGCATCAGCCTCCTTTAGAGTATTTGATATGTCTTTCACACTATAGTCTATTTTTAATGTAGTGTAAAATAAATCCATTTTGGAGTGACTGGGTTCTATTTCATGGTGATTCTTAACAGTTTCTGTTTGTTTGATTAGTGTAAATGAGTCTCCCATTTCATCTTTGCAATGGTACCAAACACTGCCACTTGCTACTCTAAATAGATTATAGCTGTAAGATTCCATCTGAATCTTAGTGTCAGGCAGGATTGATAGAGATTTTGTTTGATGTCTGTCTTTTTGTTTGTCTGCTTCGGGTAACTGCTGTGTAAAATGTTGGTTGACTTGTTCAGCACTTGTCATGACTTCAAAATCCTTTCTTGAGCCTCTGCGGCAGTTCTGTTTTTCACTCAAAATTGCACTTAACCTATTTAGGTCTTTACCTTTAGAACTGCAAAGGGTATCCGCTGTCTTTGCAAAATCATTTGGAGAATGATTCTCAGTTTGGTATAATAACATGGAACATTTTCCAGTTTGATGACTGCCTGTGTCAATGTCCCTTTCATCTGTATTAGAATAATTCAAGGTAACATTGAATATTTCTGTCAGCTTAGCAGCAAAACTACCTATTTGATGTACATAGTAAAGGGATTTGCCTCTATCATCATCTGCTTCAGGGGCATTTTTCTTCTGTAGGTAGTGCTTGGGCTTCCATTTCCCTGAAGAGCAGGATAAACAAGTACTGTTAGTCTTTTTGACATCCTCCTTGTCCTTCTTTGATTTCTCCCTGTGGTGTGAGCCTGTTGTGAACTCAAGACTAGATTCCGCCCCATGAGAGAAGTATTTAAATTCGGAATTTTCATTTCTTGCAGTCTGTCCTTCATGGGAAGTCATACTATCCATCCCAGTATTTTCTTTCAACAGCTCCAACTTCTCTTTGTCTTTTGGCAATGCAGGGATTACCATGTCTGTATTTTTATTCTCTAATTTGCTAGGTTCCCAAGAATCAATATTTGTCACAACCTCTGCTCCAGAGGTGCAAAGGCTAACTGCATTTTCTAATGGATTAACACGTGGCTCAGAATGAATTTTCAGCAGGTAATCCATATTTACACCAGCCGATAAGGTTTCCTGGGCGTGAGATATACTGATATTAGGCCTTGCCACTTCCTCTGTCTCTGTTACATGGATGTCAACTGGCATTGCTTTTTCAGCCGTTATAGGAAATGCACAAGAAAGACTCTTTTCATTTTCTGCCATTATTGATCTGAAAGGAGTCAGGCTAGATTGAAAGATTGAACCACAAAGCTCTGTTGACCCCCAGACCTTTTTACTTTGGCATTCTTGTGTTTTTGCAGAGTCCTCTACCTGGGGAGTATTCAAATAATCCTCATTTGGAACAGGAGCAGTGAAAGGTAAATTTGAAACATGTGTGCTGCCAGGCTCTTTGATGTCCTCTGAAACAAGAAGCTTTTCTTTCCAATTCTTCTGTTCGTCACATACATTCTGCAGTAAATTTGACTCTTCCTCTTTACTCGCAGAGGGGTTGAAGCTACAAGAAATATGAGCTTCCTCCTGGTTATTCTTTGCATATTGACACTTTTTCATCTGGATTTTTTTTCTGGCTACAGCTGTTTGAGACTTGACCACCTTCAAATTCATAAGGTTTTTCAGGTGCTGAGCCTTCCAAACATTTCTTAGCACCATAGGATTGTTTTTCCTGGACATTTGAATTCTTTTCACACCATTTGAATTATTTTCTTTTGAAATCAATACAGTGGGTTGTGACTTGGAAATCCTGTTCAGACCTCCTGGCGCTTTTATAAACGTTTTATGCAATTTCTTTCTTTGACACAATGTGGAAAAGCCTGTATGTTTCCTAAAAAGTCTCGCTTGATTGTTTTTGAAAACAGTGGAGATCTTGGATTTTTTCCCAGCATTACTATTTATGTTGAAGTACGAGGTCATGCCAATGTCAACAATCTGTCCCGCTGATTGCTTCCCTTCTGGAGATTTGGACTGGCTGGTTGCAGGGATCAGCAGATTGTGTGAAGAGTCTTCTGCAGCTGTACTGTGATCACATCTGACATCTACATCTGCACCAAGGTCAAAACAATTTGCATGGCTTTGCACACAAATGCTATTCAGCAAAATAGATCTGTTTTGTTCAAACGCTTTAATCTTATTTTCTAATTCAAACTGCTCTTCTGAATTATCAGAAAGGCATTTATGAACCGTTCTGTGAGATGAAAACCCTATCTTTCCCTGAAGTGTCATTTTCATTTCAGTATGATTTTTAAGCAGGTGTGAAGGCTCAGAGTCCGAAATGTCAGTACCTTCATGAAATGGCTTGAAGTCAGTTGTGATATCTTTTAGTTTTTGTGCAAGATCACTTTGACTGATCTCTGATTCATGTCCAATATACCCTTCAATCTTTGTTTTACTGAAGGATGTATCATAGGTGACAGTTTTTTGTTCTTTGCAATTAGAAAAAACAGGATCTTTTGGAACATATTCATTGTCTTTTGTAGGGGAAGAAATACATATGTTTTCAGGTTGTTGAGCACATAAAGATACAGTTCCATTAGACGATACACCATCCAATGCTGATGAGCTCATGATTTGTTTTATCCTTTTATGCTCGGTTTCATTATATGAAGATTTCTTAAAAAAAAGCAGCTTACATAACTGTGGGCTGGTGATACAGGAATCCCTGGCATCACTTTTAATTGTAATCTGGAAATTTGGTTTCTTTGTGGCCCGGGAGACTTCGTGTTTCATTTCAGTCATGTCCTCAGACAAACTGGAATGATTGGCCATGTCTTTCAGGGAACCTGCATTTGAAGCAGTTTTTATTGCATGTGGGCGTGATGCTGTACTTATCATCTGTCCAAATTGTATTCTTCGGTGTAAAAACCAGTACACTTTATCTGAGGAACTAACACCATCCTTAATGGCATGAGTCTCACAACATTCCCTTTCAGCCTCCTCAAATTCATAATTACATGGTGAATCTACACCTTCGTTTCCAGTTGTGTGAGAAGCCTGTGTGTCACATCCACCATCCCTTTTCTTAATATGTGTTGAGCTGGTATGGCGCATGTTGCCTGCTTCTAATTGTACTGTTTTGTGTTGCAAGTGGTTCTGACTAAAGAGATCACACTCAATAGCCTCCCCGTTTTCTGAAACATCACCATAGGATACCTCTTCATAGTGGGAAATACACAAATCATTGGTGCAATATTCCTCTGCATTTGCAGTTTCTTGTTCAGAATGCACTGCTTCTTCACTTCTAAGTTCTGAACCTTCCAGCTTTCCTGCTGAATCTTGTTGGTGTTCACAAAGAAAGTAAAAGTGATCAACATCCATTGTCTCTGCACTGGATGTTGTTGCTTCTATTGGATTCTCGCAAGACCCCTTGTAGGTTTTCACGGTAATAGACTTTTGTAGATGTGTGTGATCCAAACTGGAAGATGTCTCCAAAGTTAAGTCAAAATTATAACCTGCCTCATAATGATTCAGGTTTTGTTTTGTGTGATCTAAAGTACGTCCCAGTTGCAATTCATCTGGCAGATGAAGACTTTGTCGTACCGCAGCAGACTGGCATTCTGGAGGAGCTTCTGCTGACTCTGTGACCTGATTCCCCGATGTACTACAGTGTTGCTCTGTGTCAAGTTCACTTTCCTTCGCTGTGGATATCTTATTTGTCAGGTTCACTTGAGAATCTGCCCCTCCAATGTTCAATAAGGGTTTATAATTGCCTTTAGTGCAGCTCTCTTTTAAATCTACTTCAGCATTCACAGAAAGGTCAGGTCTGGATTCATCTGGTACCACATCAGTTTTCTCTGGAAAATCTTTAGTGCTATGTGACACGTTTACTAAACTCAGTTTCTGTTGTCCATCTGAAATCATTTTGGACACCTTTTGGCCATCAGCTTCAGCTTTTACCTGCTGCACAGAGCAACGCTCAGTGCTGGTGCCTTTACTGTACAAGGACTGTCTACATGGAACTCTGGGAGCTCTATGAATATCCCTTACCACAGAGCTATCTTCTTGGTGAAGCAAATGCTTCTTGAAATATTTTTCATAAAACCTAATTCTGCGGAGTAAAAGTTATTTTTCCTCTAAAGGCACATTTTTCAGAGAACGAACCTTTGCGATTCTTTCCTTTTCTGTCATCACAAGGTACAGGGAGTATTTCTGAAATTTCATTTTGAGCAGATCTATGGGAAGATCCTGCTTGTTGTGTGTAGAAGGAGCATGTAGGAACAGTCCTTTGGGATGAGTTACCCGAGATGCCCCTACACTTTTGTTCATCCTTATTATACTATTTCGACTGTCATGTCCTGCAATGGCTTTAGCATGGGGTTTCTTTCTTGAAGGATGCTTATTTTCAGGCACTTGCACATTGGGGCTGTACAAATCATTTTCTGAAACTGGTTCAGTATGAGACTGTGAGGCAGGGTAAACACATAGCTTTCTCAGATGTGGTTCTAAGCCTGGCTCCTCATTGATTTTTCTTTTCAAGCTATCCTTTTCTCTTCCATTTAATCGGGGGTCTTTCACAACTCGTGACGTGATGACAGTGGTAGAAAGCTCAGTAGATGGTTGTGTGGCAGATTCGCTCATCATTTGCGGGTTAAAGGTATTCTGGTACTTATCTGTCCTATTATAAACTGAGTCACCAGGACTTGCTGTTAAATAGTGCCTACCGGGGTATGATTGTTCAATCTCTACATCCTTGGAAGGAGGACTCAACACACTCATGGGCTTCCCAAGATGCACTTTACCTTCCATGAAAGAAGATAGTGCCTCTGATGTCCAGTTTATTTCTGTTTGTGCCTCGTTGATATAACTGAAAGAAGGCATAGATCCAGAGGAAAAATATGAAAGTGCCCACTGTTGGTCGGTGGAGTTTTCATTACATGAAACCTGCACATTTCCTATTCCACTTTTCTGACCTCTGTATGATTGTGCATTTTTTGGATTTTTTGCTTGGTTATTCCCTGGAAGTGAAGAACTTGATGAGCTCCCTGGACAGTTGTAATCTGTCAAAACCACATTATGTTCTGTGGTGCCATAATGCTTAAATGTAATGGTGGTGTTCTCTCCTCTTCCTCTTCTCTCAGCCACAGTGCATCTTTTCCAGCGTTCCACTGAGCCTGTGAAGTGAAGGACGAAACAGAAAAGAATAAAACACAGTGCACCAGGTTTTGCTTTTTGAAGGTGAAACTGAGAAAGGTTTTACAAGATAAATGTGTCAATAAAAAAAAGTTCACAGCTAACTTCCTGGAAAAAAACAGTTTTTATGTCCTGTGTAACCTGCAACCTTTCATGATCGGGAGTTTTACATTTGAATTTATCCAAACGTTTCGCTGAAGCAATGTGTATTGAACTGGCTTAACGAAATACAGAATAATAAGATTTGCTTTCAGACTGCATTTTGGCTTTAGGGGTGCTCCCTTTCCTTATTAATGAGGACAAAAAATACTTTATATCCATTTTTCAACGGGCACAAGGCTGGACTCACACTGGATTGGATGCCAGTTCATCAAAGGGCACACACAGACACAAATACGCATACAGTCACACCAGGGCTAATTTTCCCAGAGTTCAATTAGCCTACCAGTATGACCAAGACAATGGATGGATGGTATGATGGGTATTTAAGTTTAGATTTCCACGGTTAACCAAATTTCTCTCTTTTATTTTCACAGGCTAACACCATGCAATTTCCACTATAGCTGGCTGTATCCCAATCAGCCTTGGCATTTCTTGATGTATGTGGTCAACACTGTACTCGCAGTCATAGTCCAATGAGTGACTAAACCAGGACTCTAACTAGCAATAGATAGGTCATAGAATGAACTATTTACTCCATGTGCAGTTTTTACACTGATCGAGACACTGCTGAGCCCTTCACAGTTTCTTTGTTGATTCATTTTGGGTAGGGTACATATTTTGGAATAATCTTCTAATTTCTTCTGTGCTTAAATTGCTGACAGATTATTTCTGGTCTCATAGCTGTAAGATGTAAAATGTTAAAGGGGATCTGCAATGCTTTTTTCATACCTCAGGGTTAGAAAAAATCAGCATTGATGAGTGCATTCAAACTGCAATAATAGTAAAATGTACATAGTTACCTGTAAAACTGCCAATTTACATCACAAAATAGACAACGTTACAGATATGCACAGCGCCATGTTCTGTGATTCAGAACAAGGCAACAAAACGTCCGGTGACATGCTATGACGTTGTAAACAAGCGGGCTTGTGAATACATCTCTTTTAATCCAATAGAAATATTGTTCTCGACTCCAAGATGGTTTTGTTGATCAATGGAACTTGCTTGTTAACTCTGCATGCAGATCATGTCGGAACGTTTTTGTGGTAAAATGTCTGCTGCACAACTTGCTCATACAGTACATCACATTACATTAGTCATTACGGAGACTAGTGAGCGGGAAGGGCTGCAACACATCACAATTCGTGGGAAATTGAATAACTGTACTTTCACAAAGTTCACGATTTTGTGCTTAATTAGAAATTTGCCTTTTTTTTATAACGTCAGTTAATTTATTATGTTACTAAGATTTTATAACCGGTCTGAGAAATTGGGACTGCAGTTCCCCTTTAACTGGTAACTTGTTCAATCAAATGGAAGAGAGCCTATGTTAAAGGATCTCACAATAAACGCACACGCAATGTTTGGTGTAAAAAGCATTTGGTAGAGGTTATACACTTACCATATGGCAGTCCTAAAGCTGATAGTTTTGAGAGGGGAGTACATGTGACAATTGGCACAGAGTCACAGGGGATGACTGAGACCACTGCACAAGGCAAGCATTGCCGTGGCCTGCTACAAAACTCTTCTTTCTCATTGAAGTCAAAAAGAAAGACCTGAGAATAAAGAGAAATATCAAGTGCTCTACTAACATCTTGATTTAAAAAAAGGATTTTATTATAGAGACATCGGTTGCTGGTTGCTTTCCTAAAAATCTTGAGCCAGAAGAGTCCTATCCAATAGGACCATTATGATTAGACCTTTCAAGGCTCCTAACAGGCTTTTCAACATGTCTAAGGAGAAAGCTTTATTAGGATGGATATGCACAGGACCTAAATTGAAGACTTGAGCATCAGTGCACTTGAACCTGTGCTATACTGTACAGAATTGCTCTCTCTATTTACAGTATGCCAGCTACATTGGATGGTGACAAGCCTGAGAAACTAATTTGCAAAGCTAAATGAATCACTCTTTGAATGTTGCTGGTCTTGCGGTAATGATTATAAATCAGAGGGTTTATACAGGGTCTCAGCAAGTGGTGCTTGTATTTGGAGAAAAGTCAGAATTTCTAAAACCTAAAGCGAATGCTGAAAAGAAAGGGATAGAGGCCGATGACATTTACTTGTGAAGAGAACAATTATAGAACTTTTTATGCTTTTTGCTAAAAATTAGAAACAAAAAGGATACAGACAAACAGTATAATACAACCATATGTGCCATTGTTTAATGCATATTCACTACATATGAAGAAACATTTTTACTGAGGATTTTAGGAATGGACATCTACATTTTATAGCTAAACATTCTGAAACAGAATTTTGGAATTCAAAACAATGGCAGCTAAATAATGCTTCCAATCCTACTCCTGGTATTTGAACAAATCAATTATTAATAATAAAAGTACATTTTAAAATGTAAAGAAACAACTTAAGTTGATGATGTGTGTAAAAACCCTGAGTTTAAATTCAAGCTGCATTATTTCTTTTTAACTGACAAAAACAACCCCAGTGATCATCACTTCTCAAGCGCAATAAAACAATTCATCTTACTTTATGAATGAGTTTTAAAGATATACGTTTTGCCTGACTGGGATTCCTATAAGTAACACACTTTAGGGAAGCAAAGTGTTATAACAGTGCAAGGCATTATATTTGTTGACATAACATTCCAGATGAGTTCAAATGCCATAAAATAAATCTGGAACTGTTTTGAGGGGAGATGTCCACAGTGATTTAATATGCTCGTTCATTATGTGTTTGAAATCAGACATACTGAAGCACTAACTGTCCCAGTCAGATTCTTACTTTTGGGAACTGGATATAACAAGCATTATTGGTCTAAATTACAGTCTCATGAAGTATCAAAAGCAATCACAGGACAAAACTGAAATTATTTATTTTTGTACTTACAAATGAGCCCAGAGCCTGCTGCGAAAGAGTGTCTTTGTGGCTGATCGGGTCTTTGGACATAAAACAGTCAAAGTGTATCGTAGGATCTTGGTCCACCATCTTCCCCACGCAAGATTTTACCCTTTTCACCTTGCCAAATAATGCCTTCAAGAAATCCGCGAACATTTTTTAATACATCAATATTTAATAACTGTGTATACATAATTTGGAATTCAACAAAACATAACATCATTGGAAAGGGGTGAATAATTCTGCAAGACCGTCAGTCTTTTCAATAAAGTTGGCTTTTCAAACTTGGTGATTCCAATTTTATATTTGTAGTTTATGTTTTTGCTATCTGTTTTTTTTGCTATATAACTTGTATCTATGAAATATTATCTTCCAGGCGTTTAAGTGTTTATGTCCTGAATTTGGAATAAGTCCTTTCCTTCGTAGCTTTTGCAGTGTTTGCTGATCTTGTTAGTTAACGACACTTGCATGCTTTACTAATTTGCTAGGTGTACTAGAATCTAGATTACTGATCTGAACTAGGAAAAGGAATGATCCTAATGCAGATACCTGCAGCACTCCACTAACAACATCACTGCTGTCTCAGCATGCCCATTAATCCTTAATAAAAATACATGCATTATTTTGAATACTGGTGATGCACAAAGATTTCCATTCTTTGCTATAGGTGGTGTTTTAGGTTAAATTTTAAAATTGGTATAAAGATTTTAATCTCTATATATAAATCAGATCATAATTTATCACAACCAAGGGATCCCTTATATATGACAATTGCTGTCACTGTGGGATATATCATTATCAATAATTATGATCATGAAATAATAATCAATGTTTCCCAGATAAGCCATCACCACCCTTAATTTAAAACAATTAGTGTCTTATAGGGATACAAGCATGTACGGATCGAATTCCAGTAGGTGTTTATGTAACCCTTTCTTAGCTATAGTATTGTGTAAACACATATAAAGAATTACTAATCATGATTCTACAGTGAACCTGCCTTATTTGCCCTTGGTGAGTCTGCCAGTGAAGAAGGAGGGATAGGACAGCAGAACTGCAGGCTCACCAGGGTTTATTGTCCTTTATTGGTTGTCAGGTGTGTGTGCTAATCATGGAGGGAGGTAGAGAGCAAGAGAGAGAATGTAGCAGCAGCTAGCAGTCCATGGGGCAGAGAGACAGAAAAAGAAAGAAAACCTCCCCCCTTTAGAGGAGGAGAAAAATGTAATAACAATGAATGAAAACACATTTGGAAAAAAAACTATAATTACAATACTTGAACACCAAACATAGTATATACTTGACAAATTTTCACAACAGAAAATAAATGAAACATTATAGAGAAAATGACCTTTTTATTGAATTTGTAGTGGACATTTCATTATCTTACACTATACTGTTCAGTATTTAAACACAAACTAAAATACACAGTGCATAAGAAAAAGTATTAAATCACTTGTATGCTTCCCTGTCATGACAACAAGTAGCATGGAAGGAAAGTGAGGCAGACATGTATCATAGAGCCCCGGTAGAGACTGGGTTACACTCATTCCACCAAAGGAACTTGCTATTTTACTCTCTCTTTCTGCAGGTCATGTTAATTTTCCATAACTCGAACCTTTTACTTTGGGACCCATGGGTGGGTTTTACATCAAGTCGAATTTGACATAAGCCGCGTCTTATTTAGCCCATAGAGAGGGCACAAATATCATAATCAATATCTAGCCCAGACTCACCATCTTCCTAATATCATAACAATATGTAAAACTGAGAAAATGCTTCCTTACCTTAAAAATAACAATAGTTTTTGGAGCTGCTGATTTTTTCATGGCTCTTTTCAAAGCCACGTCCACGTGTCTAAATAAGTAGACTCCATACAAGGGGTTTCCCAGGGTATAAGGACCAGTTTTGCATGTTTTCACACCGTTTTCATACAGTTGTGCAGCACCTTTGATGGAGGTGACCAAAAAGCAGAACCTTTCTTCCATTTCTCTCCCATGTCTCCCCTTTGAGCGCATCTCAAACCTTAAAGTAACACATGTCACAAATTTAGGAGATTCACGGCGGGTTCATTGTATCCAGATGTTAAACTGCCAATATCAGCAGTTTGCCAATCCATGACTAAATCCTTATCTTACTGTAACACTGTTTTCGAGTGACTTCTTTGTTGCTAACATTTTGTCTGCCTTTGTGCTGTTATGCTGGGAGTCTGTGGCGAAACAAATTTCCCTAATTGAACTGAATCTTCAACAGCATCTCCTCCAGACAGGAATGTGGACTGCTTCACTACAATTAGAACCACATTGAACATTTACATTTTGAAATTACCTCTTTTCAGAAAACTCCCTTGCAAGATCTTCATTGTGGACCAGTTTTACATCTTGACACTCCCATGGTGGAAATATTTCATAGGTTATATCGAGTCTGGAGTCGTTTAGTGTTGAATGAATGTAGCTGTACTCCCTGCTTTCTTTAGGACATTCTTCCAGAAGAGCTGAAAAGGAGCAGAAAATGCACTATTGCACTATCTGTACTGAAATGGATTTATAAACACATCTTGATATACAGTACATTTGTACACATTTTCTTCCCATTACATAGTGATGTTTATATATTTGTAAGGATATTTATATATTTGTAAGACGCATACATTAAAATCATTGATTACAGCTCTGCATTTAACACTATAGTTCCATCCAGACTAGTCAGGAAGCTTAATGGCCTGGGCATCAGCACCTTTCTATGCAGCTGGATTATTGATTTCCTGACTGGAAGACCACAGACTGAGGGTCGATGGAAAGCTTTCTTCCACTCTAACCATCAATATGGGTGGCCCTCAGGGCTGTGTGCTTAGCCACCTGCTGTTTTCCGTGTTTACCCACGATTGTGTGGCCAGACACAGCTCCAACTCCATCTACAAATATGCTGATAACACCACCATAATTGGCCGAATCACCGGTAATGATGAGACGGCCTATAGGGATGAGGTAAGGAACCTGGTGGAGTGGAGCCATGACAATAATCTCTCCCACAGCGTAAGCAAAACCAAAGAGCTGGTCATCAATTTTAGAAAGCAGGGTGGGGACCACACCCCTATTCACGTCAATGATCAATGGGGTGCCTGTAGAGATGGCTAGCAGCTTCAAATTCCTGGGCACATTCATTACTTATGATTTAACGAGGTCTCAGCATGTAACTGGAGCTACAAAGAAGGCACAACAGCGCCTTTACTTCCCCAGACAGTTGAAAAAACTCTATTCTATCTTCAACTGTCCCCACCACAATTTACAGGTGCGCTACTGAGAGTGTGCTCACGTGTGGTATTACAGTGTGGTTTGGCAGCAGTTCATTAACTGACAGGAAGGCGTTACAGGGCCTGGGCGATCAGGTCAGCCCTGTCCATCATTGGAGTACAGCTCCCCTCTATTTTGGACATTTTTACAACTTGCTGTCTCAGGAAGGCTGGAAGTATCACTAAGGACAACAATCATCCCAGTTTCTCATTTTTCTCCCCCCTTCCCTTATAGGAGCATAAAGACATCAACCTTCAGATGCAGAGACAGTTTCTTCTCACAAGCTGTCTGATTACTGAACTCTACCCCTACCACTGACTCACACTGCTTGTCTGACTTTTTTAAAGTTATATGTTATTTAACTTGTTGCTGTTGCTGCTACTGTTCTGTGTTTATGTTTTTGATTATTCCTTTAATGTCTTTATGTAGGAGTGTACTTACAAATGAGCATTTCATTGCACTTGTGCATATGAGAAATAAACAGAATTAAGAGGAATTCAATGGCTACTGTGCTCAAACTGTAAACACCTGATGTATCTCAGTGACTCTTGTACCCCAATAACTCTCACGGGTCTTCATGATTATTTATTAGTCTATCTAATTACCAAAGAGTGTATGTGACTTAAACTGTATAAAGGTTGGGGTTTCAAAAATGTGGTGTGCAAAAATGTCCTCTTGCCCATAGGGTTAGAGACGAGGCTTTTGCCATTTCTCACATATTTAGCTGCAATAAAGAGCCATGATGGTACTCTTTGTTAGAGCTGAGCGCACCTGAGCCTTACAACTTGTCTGTGCTGCATTTCCCAATGTGCTTTGATTTGCTGGTGAAGCTCCTTCCACTTCTTCATTTCCTGTGCACATCCTCCTACTTGCACTGACGTATTACATACAGTTGTACAGAGGATCATATGGCATCTTTGGAAATGTACCTCTGAGCAACAGCTCTGTTTGATGAGTTACCATTGCCATAAGGATTCTAAGCAAATTTATTTTACAGTTCCTGTAAAGTGTGCCTCAATGACTTTTCTGCATTCCTTGTGATATTTTCAGCTGTGTTCAGTCATTTTTTAGTTCAAATTCCACATACCTTTTTCCAGGTTCCTCTTCTTCCTTGGAATTGTAAATTTCTTTAGCGTAGAATGACCATCTGTATTTTTGGAATTGCATGATTTCTGGAGCTCTGCCGTGTTACCACCAGCAATGTCCTCCATTTTCCCCAATTTCCTGATTCCACACAGCAAAAAGGATTGAGTGCAGTGTGTAGATGTCAGCACTTCAAAAACTCCTGCTATTACAAAAGAAGGACCTACCTGCCTGATTCCATCATCTAGTTTAGCTGAATTAAATTAATTAGTTCACAATCCGAAAGAAGCCTTGTAAAAGTGAGCTGTTCCTCGTCAGAGTCACCCCGCCTCCCACACACACACAGATCTGTATCCGAAACATTTTAATATGGCACGCAAAGTCTTTTTGCTTCAGAAAATCCTGCAGTGCTCGTTCTAAGAAGGCTACACTGAAATGTGTTCAGTTATTTACGTGTAACATTTCAATAATCCATTGTTTCTTTTCTGGAGAGATTCGGATTTCCTTAAATGCAAATCTAAATTTTGCACATCCTATCATGCATACAAATATAAACAAATTATATATTCTTCTCATCTCTTTGAAAAAGCTGTTTTCTCTGAACAGGTTCTGTTACGTCAATTCACTTGCATGAAGTCAAGATTCTCTGTGTTGTAAAACAAAACTATATAACTCTCACACTGGCCTAATTGCAATAACTTTATTGTTATATCTCATTTCATTTCACAACCTTCTTCAGCTTAGTTTAGTTCAGTTTTAGTTTTGCATGAAATAACACATCCATTGAATTAAGATAAAATATGTTTTAACCACCTACAGTATACAGCCTTGGTGTCCTCCTTTCATGTTTTAACCTTTTTTACACTAACAAAGAATCAAGTTTCAAGAAGTTCAATGTTAAACAGTTTTCTCCTGGTCCCAAAATAAAGAAGGTATACATTATCAGTAGCCATCAAATTCCAAGTGTAGTTTGGAATGTAGTTCCACAACTGTACTACAGAAAAACAACTATGCAACAGTTCTATAAATACTTCAGAAAACAACTCTGAACACTTGACTGATGTTACCATATCATTTTAAAACAACTTCTTGACAATAATTACATTTTTAACATAATAAATCTAAAATGATTTCTATAAATATAAAATCTAAAAAATGACAATATACAAATATTTAAATAAGCACATTAAAACACATAAACACTTCACTGTACCCAAGAGTTAAATACTCAATAGGTGTCTCAACTGGAAGAAAAACGAGTTGCCACAGATTTATTACCACAAATCATTACATACAAGAGCAATATTCTCTTGCAACAGCAAGTCCATTCAAAGGTGTTGTTTTTTTATTGCTCTCAGCATATTTTGGGGAGCAAGACACAAATGAGCATTATTGCTTGTTACTGCTGCAACGGCCAATCTGCTTTCATTGTTAATTAGTGAACACAGACTTCTTACCTTCATCACACTGACAGACAGGGCCCTGAATTGCAGTGCATCAGGAAACATGCAGGCAGCTCTGTGTGCATGTACAGAACAACCAAGAACTTCAGGCTAAATGCGGTGCTCCATCCTGCTGTCATTCCTGGCTATCTGTACTAGCTGTGGGTGACAGACAAAAGTGGAATCACTCACTCATGGTCCTCTGAACTCTTTACCTTCTTGAGACAAAGGACATACTGTAGCCAGCTTTGCTGTGCACAGGTCTGTCACTGTCGGCTCACTCATAAGAGCAGGTCTTACAGACCCCCTGGTCTGTTTTTCAGAACTCGAACACAAGTGGGAGAGCATACATCTGCATGTTTCACTGCCAGCAGCTTATTCTTCACATTATTTTCTGTAGAGAAATGTGCCTACACAATTAGAGAGCACCACAATGTGGATGACATCACATCATTGAAATTATCCGCATTCATACTTCCTGTTATTTCTCATAAGAGTTATCTAAAGCAAAACACTGCAACAAAAGTCCAGCTGTGAACTAAATGAACTGAAGTTTCCTTGTGATCATAACGACATGTTCCAGTACATTTTGAAAGCATATTTAAAGGGACAGCACAGATAAAATCTCATTTAGTTTGATTTCTGTTTGTTTTTACTGCCACAGCCACACACATTTTCTTGGAAGGATACCAGATGTACCAATGCACAGCAGTGCAATGTGGAGCAGTCCTTGCTCCAAGTTTCACATACCAAATTTAATTAAAATGTCTTTGAAAAGCTCTGAAACAAGTATGAAACCAAATGCAAACAGACCTTCTTATGTTACAACACAATTTCACACCAAATTCACATACTAATGAGTTTGAACAATCCTATTAAATGCTGTTGGATGTAAGTTTGTATAAAAAAATAAACAAACTACAACTTGATTTCCTAATTAATATCTTTTCCTTTTAAAGTGATAATAGTCTAGTTTTGTGTCACAGTAAGGTGAACCCCTTGGGCGAGGCACGTTCCTGCCTCATTTACGACTACGCCACCTAGCAATACAAACAGGATGCTAGGGCCCCTCTACATTACCACAGGTTCTGTTTATCTCCCAGTGTCACCAATGCACACACAGACCAGCGATAAGCATTTGTATCGTATAAGTGCCCTTTTTATTTTCTAACTACATTCACATTCACTTTCACTCAAAGACACAACAAGAACAGCATTCGCAGCAACCAAAGGTCCTTCCAAGGGTCATAATAAATCCAGAGGGACAGCAGTCTTTTCTGTAAAGTACTGAAGAGAGGCCACTCGAACATTTCTTCTTAGTACCTGGAAAGCCTTTGATGGCCCACTTGAAGGAGAGGGGTACCACCCAGTCCCATTTCCCCAGTCTCCATTCAGGTTACATTAGAAATCCTCCTGTAGGCTGTATTCCATTCCTCTGAGTTTGTATTGGCTAGCCAGGCCGGGTTCTTGCTCCTTGCCTTCAGGTATTAAAGGTTTGTGTACAGTATCTCCATTCCAATGTCAATGTCTTCCATAGTCGTCAGTTCCTGAACCAAAAGGTCCTGGCTTCCATGGTCTAGCACTCTGCAGCCTCCTTTGTGCTGCCTGTGTTGTCCCCAGGGTTGTGTGGGACTCAGGAGTGCACTCTGTTCTGGCTCAGATATTTTTATTCCTCTCCTTAGTCAATCCCCCTGAGGGGGTTTTCCCAGTATCTCAGAAATGGGTTTGCCCAGTATCTTACGAAGAGGAAGCTTGTGTTGTTTGAAGGGTGTGAAAGTGCTGACAAAGGTGTATTGGGCCCTTATCACTTCTTTGTTCATCCTCTTGCTCTCCCTTTTCCTCCCTAGGTCTGGTTAAAACTGGTTCAGTGACGGCCTAAGAATCCAACCATGCGATATAACTCAAACAACGCGTTCACACACAGGTACTAATACACGAGGATACATTTATTAATACATAGAATATGCACGTAAACCTAACAGATCTTATCGAGAGGGTCATCAGAATACAAAAGGTATATATTCAATCAGTCACAAAGAGTTACATATATCAGGAGGACATACGTTCGGTATATCATTCATTTAGACCGTTTCATAAAGTGAACTTGGTTACAACTTCTACATTAGATACTCAAAACAAGTACATAACTCTTAGGAATTAAATTGATATCAACTGGTTGGGATAACAATTGAATTCTCGAGCTGTAAT